TATATATATATATATATATATATATATATATGCGTCTAACAGGGTAAAAATAAAATCCTGTCAAAAAGTCTGCAAATAAATAAATGTAAAAGACCACTTTTAAATATATATCTTAACAATATGAGGAAAAATATAATATAAATAAATATAATGCTATAATACTTAAAAGACTAAACTTTAATCATGCAAAAAAAAAAAAAAAATATATATATATTTTATAGATTCAAACTGAAATGTCTGTATTTGTTTTCACAGGCACGGATGTCTGAGGTGTCGGATGATTATGCCACTGTCAAGGTTTATTGGCTTGATTGAAACCTTCTCTACCTATTAAGGTTTCCTGGAGAAGGATCCTGTTGAGTCCAAGAGACTGTCTCAGACCATCACAGACAGGTAAAACAGACAATCTCAGCTCCTAAATCATCTTTAGGGAAAATCATGCTCTGAGAGAAGCAATAGTCAATGGATTTGCTTGAGTGTAATGCATTTCATTAAATCTACATTCATAAGATGATCAGGAGTGGTGTGAAAATCTAAATAATCAAGTAAACACAAGATCATTTTTTTATTTATTAATGCACATATTTCTGAAAGTTTAATAGGCCCTATATAATAAAACGTTAATGATTGTAATTTTTTAAATTATATTATTTCATTTTTATTATTCTACTTTTTTTCAGGTTGTTGGAAGCAATGGGGGCCTCTTCAAATGACACAGAAGTAACAGTGGTAGTGAATTATTTCTATTTATTAGCTTCTAAACCACAGAAATCCTAAATTGATTTTTCAAACCCTCAGACCCCTGTCTGTTTAAAAAAAAAAAGCATTTGTGTTGTAGGCTATTTCTGTTCTCAACCTTTTGAACAACAGTAATAAACAATAATAACATTAAACTTGGATTTATGATGTCATGAGTTTAATGTTTCTATGAGCACGACAAAAATAATGAGCTATAGTGCTCTTAAGTGGCTCATTTAGCCGTGCACAAAAAGGGCGGAATTTGTATTTGTAGCGTTGATTCCATACGGACTTCTTATTAAACGAACGAAACAACTTCCGGCTTCTAAACCGCTCAGGCAGCGGAAATCATTCAACTCAGCGGAACTAATCTGCGCAACATTCTACTCAATTCTATTTCTTGTAACGACATTTAACGTATTTTATTTAGAAGTATTTAGGTGGAAACCGTGTGAAATTCAGTTTGAGTATCCTGATTATGATGTAAACGGGGCAGTTCAGTGACAGCGGCAGGTAAGTGTAATATTGATCGCAGCCGAGTTATTTTAAATTTTTAGAGTTGTGTTATGACTGTAAAGATATTTTAACCTCTATATTTCAGCATACAACAATATATTCATTTAGTTTCGGTATAAATAATGCACTGTGTGATGGGAATCTAATGAACATGTTAGCACAGTAACGGCTCAAACCAAACCGGTGACTGATGATTATGAAACTTTGTATTTCATAACATCTGCATCTGATACGCTCATTGTAGTCTCTACAATATAGAAATTGGTTAAGAGTTTTAATAATCCCGTACAGAAAGTGCTGCAGCAGTAACGTTAGCAGGGTATAGTAACAGATGGTAATACCATGGTACACTGATTTATACAGTTGTACTGACAGATTACCATATTCCTATAACGTTACCATGGTATTTACATGGTATTCCAAGGTACTTAAAAGTGCATGCTTATAAAACATGTTATTACCATTGTACACGTCCACAAAATGTTTGTGTTTGTAGTACATAATATTAGTGATATGCTCTTACTGTGAAACCATGTAACCAAAACATGGTAATACCATGGTACTTGGTACTTTGTGCTCAATTAAAGTTGTATACTTTTGTATGAAGGTAGTAAAATACTTGGCAAGTATAATATGAGTCAGTATAAAATAACTGTTGTATGCTTCATGTGAACTCCAGATTGGTTTGCAATTGGTTTAAAAGCAATCTGTTCTTAATCAAGGAAGTAAACTGCCATTGATGACATATAGTTTGCATGATCTTTGCGTGCACACTTATAATAATTCATTTCCAATACAGTAGCTGCTTGTTTCAGAAAACAACAAGTAAACCTGAATAAATTATGATTGATGTACACACTTCAGCAGTGCACTCCTGTTATTGTTTCTCTGTGGTTTGTCAACATCTATTTTTTTACATTGTATTCTTGCTGTTTTCAAAACGGACCCCAAACAGAAAAGAAAAAATATTCTGAAAAGTTCATGCCTACTTCGTGACACAACAACAATACATGCCTATTGAGTTTGAGGAACTTATTAAAAGAATTTAAAAGGAAAACCGTATGTTATTTTTTAAAAATGACAACCTTTAATAATTTAGTACCTGATGTATTTTGGCTAAAATTATTAAAATAATTAAATGATTACCATAGTAAAGGTACAGATTTTGCAGAAATATATACCGATTTTGGGGTCTCCTCTAGTTAGTTTTTATTATTTTGTAATTTCACTTCAATTTAAGTTAAAGTTTTAGTATTTTTGTGTTTATTTCTGTTAGTTTTTTTAATGTCTACATAGTTTTTATTAATCTTTATTTCAGTTTTAGTTATTTTAGTACATCAAGTTACTAAATTAAAATGAGAAATTAGATTTTTTTTTTCATTTTATTTTATTCAGTTAACATTTATTTTATTTCAAGTAACAACATTTTTTTTGTTTGTTTTTGTATAATAACCCATCATTGTGTGTGTTTGTGTTCCTCAAAGGTGTGTGAGAGTGTGTATGTTGGTCTGCTGGTATGCTGACGTTAGCCAGTAAGCTGAAAAGGGAGGAGGGCGTGAGGGCCGGCCGGACCCTTGCACGCTCCAACGATGCCTCTCATAGAGTGTCCATCAGAGATCGACTGCTCATCAAAGGTACCAATCACTGACCAAACACTCCTTCTGCCTGCTGGGATCATGACACTAGAGCAGTGGTTTGGTCCTAGTGGTTCACAACCAATTTTTTATGCCTGTTCAGATAGGGTCACGGATAAATTAGGCATGGATGGTTTGTGTGACATGACTTTATCCACAGAAAAATGTATAACAAAACATTAAAGGGATTGTTCAACCAAAAATGAACATTCTGTCATCATTTACTCACCCTCAGGTTGTTCCAAACCTGTATGAACACATACAGGTTTCTTCTGCTGAACAAAAACAAAGATGTTTTGAAGAATCTGTCTAACCTAACAGTTCATGATCCCCATTGACTTCCATAATATTTTTTTTTCCATGCTATGAAAGTCAGTGGAGACCATCAACTGTTAGATATCTATCTATCTATCTATCTATTTATCTATCTATTAGGGCTGCACGATTAATTGAAATTAAATCGCAAAGGCGATAAATCGCAATTAGGCAGAAGCTGCGATTGTCATGCGTATCTTTCAGTGAAGCACGGTTCTGTGATCAGTAGTAAATCTCCATTCGAAGGCCAGAGGGCGCTCTCATGCTGAAACTCCAAATACGCCTCGCAAAAGAAATCCAGGAAATCCCTCTTGCGGTTGCTAAATAAACAGAAGATTTAACTGCTTTCATTGATTCAACGTGACTAATAAACACACGAATACGACAATATATGGTTTATCTGAGTTTGTGTTATTATAATTTTTATTATAATAAAGTATATAATAATGCACACAGCTTTCATAATCGCAGAATGATTTATTTGATTTTATTATCACTCGATTATATCGTCTGCGATTATGAACGTGATTTTGCGTAGCTTGTCAGTGAACTACGGCTCTGTGTAGTAAATGCTGCTCCATCTGAAAGCACGTGATGGAGATTTACTACTGATCAAAGAACCGGCTTTACTGACAAGATGCGCATGACACTCGCATTCGATTAATCATGCAGCCCTTCTATCTATCTATCTGTCTATCTGTCTGTCTGTCTGTTCATCTTTTTGTCTATCTATCATGATTTAACACATTATAATTGGATCATGAATTACACACTGCCAAACTCTTTTGAAAGATTAGAGCAGGTCTGATTTCAGAGAGCGTGATGAGTGGAGTTGTGTTGTGCAGTGACTGTCTGCAGGGAGTTGCGGTGCCAGTAAACTGGTGTAAGGTGATGGGATGCAGGCCAGATCAGGAGAGCAGTAGATTCTATTTATAACAGACTGAGAGGAGCAGTCTGTATGCCATTACCAGCAGCTTAAAAAGCCATTCCCACCCACAGTCAAACACTCAGGCTATTTTCTGAATCAGTGAGGCCACTGGATCCGCTCCAACTCAACATTTACAGATGACACCGTGAGAAAGCATGTGGCCTTATATAGCTAGATAGAACTGTGTCTTGTATCTGGTTTCACAGTCCATAATTCCAATAATAAACAAATTCAGAGATGAATAAAAGAATATGTCATTCTAGGGATGCACGAAATTGGATTTTTGTCGATATCTGATATGCCGATATTTTTCAACAAATTTTAGCCAATAGCTGATGCCAACACCGATATATTTCCTTTTGTTTGGAAACAACACCAAGTCTCTCCTGTGCAGCGATTATAAACAAATTATTTTTTAATTTTGGTTAGTTTTTAACAAAAAGCTTACTTGTTATAATTAAATAAACAATAATGAAGTTATTTTATAATGAGAGTACATTGAAAGCTTTGAAAATAACTATAAATCAACTACAAATCAATCACTGCCGGTTTTTTCTTCAGACAGTTGCAGTGACAACCTTAATATTTTATTTGAAGATTTAACATTTGTAGATGGTCTAAAGCGAAAGAGCTGTACAAATTCTGAAAAAAACTTTTATAGCTCCTTGTATTTAAGTTTTCATAATCTGATTGAAAAAATTTATTTATTACACATTAATGAATGATGAATAAATATGAATGATGAAATATGTATATATAAAACTATTTATTATACAAGTCTCATGTTTGTGGTTTTTTTTATTCATGTAAGCTATAGCTTCTGACCTTTAAATCAAAACATACTCGTGATATTATGACATCGATTACTGATTTATTTAATCAGAAACACAATGTTATTTGTTTATTTTATTTAAATTTTATAACAAGTAGGCCAACAGCTCCCCCTAAATAAATAAAAGGCCTTAGCGGACGGGCATTAGGACCCGGGGGAAGCTGCCACTGCCACTGCTGCACATGCTTGTGACTGTTGACTCTATTGCACATCTGACATGCCATTCTCTACTTGTATTCTCAAATTAAATGTAGTGATCCAAAACAGTGAATCTAATCACCATTCAGGCAAAAGTTCGCTTCAAGAATGACCACACCTCTGACGTGATCTTATTGCCAGCACACCCTGAACACATGCGAGTTATTCATCTTAACGCATAGTGGCATAATTTTTCATATCGGGTTGATGCCGATGTTTGCTGATTTTAACCCATTATCGTCTGATTCCGTTAACGTTCCGATAATATTGTGCATCCCTATATCATTCTAAAAAAAATCTGTTCATATGCTGGTTTGTAAAAGTTGGTTTTATAAGTGTTTTTGTTACCCATCAATACTGAACACTCATGTCATGCTTTGATTTGTGTTTACAGAGGTTGCAGAACTTGAGGCCAACCTTCCAAGTGAGTATGTTCAGGTCATTTTTTTGCAATTTAAGTGTGTATATATATATATATATATATATATATAAGGGTGCATTCAAAAATCAAATGTAAGAATAACTTTTAAAATGATTGGATGAGTGGATTTAATTTTTAGTGTTTCATTTTTATATTCTTTTGACAAAATATTATAGAGTTTGAATATCGGCCATAACATGAAAATAATTATTGGTTTATCAGAATTGCCATGGTTTTTAATTTTGGTGCATCCCTAATACTCTTTCTTTCATACATCTACAAACCTGTTTGTATGTGTCAGCTGTTATGCAGATGTTAAATTCTAATTTTTGTGATTTAAGAACTATCATAAACATTATTATTCTTTCTGCAGATACTTGTAAAGTTACGTTTCCTGATGAAAACAAACTCTGTCACTTCCAGTTGGCCATTTCACCAGGTAATTCTGATCTCTTTTCTGAAAGGTTAAATTGTAAAAATCCATTAAATGCAGATGCTGTTTATCAGTATAAAAGTGTTCAGCTGACCTATTCATACCCGATATTAAAGGGATAGTTCACCCAAAAATGAAAATTACCCCATGAGTTACTCACCCTCAAGCCAAATGTATATGACTTTCTTCTTTCAGACGAATACAATTGGAATTATACTGTATAAAAAAATGTCCTGGCTCTTCCAAGCTTTATAATGGCAGTGAATGGCGGTCAAGATTTTGAAGCTCAAAAAAGTGCATCCGTCCATCATAAAAAGTGCTCCACACAGCTCCGGGGGGTTAATAAAGGTTTTCTTAAGAAAAACGATGCGTTTGTGTAAAAAAAAAAAAAATCCATATTTAAAACTTTATAAACCATAATCTCTAACTTCCGCTATTGTATGTGTGTTCACGGGTGAGTGGCATTCCTGTGGATGACATAGGACGTAGGCATAACAAAAGCTCCAGTAAGAATATGTTAGTCTTGCGAGAACCATGTTTTGTTTTCAGCAAAGGAAAACCAGTATCCTCTTGGCTTATATCAAAATCCGACATTTTTCTTTAAAAATCCTAGTTTTTTACTTCTAATTCGTGACTGATGTTTCGTTTTGCTTTCTAATCTGCGCTTCCGCATTCGTCACTTCTCACCGGAGCTTACACTACGCCTACGTCATACGCTGGAAAGCCACTCTCTTGTGAACATGTGTACAACAGTTAACAGAAGCAAGAGATTACGGTTTATAAAGTTTTAAATATGGATATTTTTCTTACACAAATGCATCGCTTCGCTTCAGAAGGCCTTTATTAACCCCCCGGAGCCGTGTGGAGTACTTTTTTTATGATGGATGGGTGCACTTTTTTGGCTTCAAAATCTTGACCACCATTCACTGCCATTATAAAGCTTGGAAGAGCCAGGACAGTTTTTTAATATAACTCCAATTGTATTCATCTGAAAGAAGAAAGTCATATACACCTAGGATGGCTTGAGGGTGAATAGATTATGGGGTAATTTTCTTTTTTTTGGGTGAACTGTCCCTTTAAGGCCCATTCACACAGTTTACAGGTATTTAAAATAAAACATTGTATACCTATGGACCCCTTCACATTGACATAACCTCATGAACCAATAAGATACTATCTTTTGATAATATAATAAGATATATATCTTATATTTTGAGTCATGTGTCTGGAACCAGCAGAGCAAAAAAACAAAAATCATTGAAAATGTTCATATACCAAATCATATATTTTTTTTATGCTGCTTTTTGTGTGAATAGGCCTTTGCTTGTCTTTTTTCTTTGCTTTTTGTATTTTGCAAGTGAAAGTATAACTTTACATTTCTGCAAAACATCTCATCAGATGAAGGCTATTACCTTGGTGGAAAGTTTCAGTTTGAGATTGAAGTTCCTGAAGCCTATAATATGGTGGTAAGTGCCTGTGACATATCATGAAGTAAAGAGGTAATGCCACACTTATTCACTCTCAGTGCTACGATGATTTTATTAGTCCATTTGTAAGCGGGGCTGTTAAATAGATGTTTGCGGGCATTACTGATGCTCTGCAGTGTCTGAATTCAATAAATAGCTGCCTGAGCGTGCCCACACAAATGCACACATATATAGCATCCCATCCTTGACCTCACAGCACCTGTAATAGCCCAGCAAAGGCTGTGAATAGATTCAGACATGGACCCTCAATCCTGGTATCCCAGTTTAGAGCAAAACCATGAAATATTACTGAGGCAAAGACATTACGTATAGCATTATACAGTGATTATATATCTGAGGTAAGTGATGAAGTAAATTATAGAGTAATTTAAATGAAATGTACAATTGATCTTATAGACTACTTTTATTGTACTTTTCATGGTGCTTTTAGTCTTGTTCATTTTCATTTTATTTGTACAGGAGCTTGGACAATCTGCAAAATATCTTCTTTTCTGTTCCATTGAGGCGAATTAAATCATACAAGTTTAGAATGAAATAAACTTTTTTTCTATAAACCAGACACAAGTTCAGACATGCACCCCAGGTAGGGCTGTTAGATAACAAACCATGTTCTGTTTTCCACAGCCTCCCAAAGTCAAGTGCTTGACTAGAATATGGCACCCAAACATTGCAGAAACTGGGGAGATCTGTCTGAGGTATGTGTCTGTTTTTGTCATTTTATTCATGTCTTAATGCATCAGACTCCAGATTGTTTTGATTCTTTTTACAGCTGTATTTGTGATCTTTAAATGATATTGTATACATCAATCTCTGCTTTTTGTTGCAAGTTTATTGCGAGAGCATTCAATTGATGGTACTGGATGGGCACCCACTCGTACACTAAAGGTAATTTGTGTTTTTATAATGCATCTTAGGAAATTCATTACAGTGTTTACTAGACAGACCTGTATTGAAATGCCTCTTTCTTTCTTTCTTTCATGAACCCTTAAATAATGATACATTTTTAAATAAATAAATATTGGTGTTATCGACCAAATGTACAGGGCTGCAGTTCATTTTTTCATTCCACTACTGCTTTTTCATTATTTTTCTGTGTAAATGTGTTAGACGACACATCTTGCATATGACACTGCATTCTAAAAACATGACGCTCATGTTAAAGGTGCAGTATGTAATATTGAATACTGAAATAGGTACTGCAGTAAAATAAAGAGATTAAAAAAGGAGAGCGTTGTTTCTCCTGCCACCCCACCTCAGACGCGATGTGGGTTGCCAGATGCCACAAGGAACGAGTGTTACCCAATGAGCCTTACAGTGTAAGGTGATGAGTTGTTTTATCCGTGTTTAATATGTATCTGGTCATAGAGCTTTTTAGATGGATTCTGAGGCTTTTCAGGTCGAGTAGAATCAGTGATCTCTGACCAAGTTCATTTGCTGGCTTCAATAGCTGCAATACACTGTGTTTTCCCACCAACTGGCAACCCAGGGTGTTGAAATCCTATTGGCTAAACTGGCAGGGGGCGGAATCACGCAGACCAAAACAAAAACAGACATTCCAACATGTAACGCACATTTCAAAGCCAAATAACTGGCTGTACTACAGTAGCATTGTTTTTTCGGAGAAACAAATATGTGAAAACATGTTTCCTAAATATCTGCAAAAATAGTATGGTATTTTTATGTTTTAGTACAGTCAAAAAATTATTGTAACACTTTTGAATAGGGAACACTTATTCACTATTAACTATGACTTTTCCCTCAGTAAATGGCTAATTTGCTGCTTATTAATAGTTAGTAAGGTAGTTGTTAAGTTTAGGAATTGGGTAGGATTAGGGATGTAGAATAAGGTAATGTAGAATAAGACTTTAATATGTGCTTAATTAGTACTAATAAATGGCTAATATTCTAGTAATGTGCATGCTAATAAGCAACTAGTTAAGAGACCCTATAATAAAGTGTTACCAAAATTACATACAGCACCTTTAAATGTGATCGCTAATCTGTATTTTTCCACCCATTTTTGTCTCTAGGATGTAGTATGGGGACTGAATTCACTCTTCACTGTAAGTACACGCGCTGTCTTCAGGAACCATGTTTGATCATCAGTGTTTTATGCTTTAGAATGTAAACGCCAATAGGCGTTTGTTTCTCTCACAGGATCTTCTTAACTTTGATGACCCACTGAATATAGATGCAGCGGAACATCATTTACGGGACAAGGTAGAGCCCCAGCACACATCTAAACACGTTTACAAACAAGTCTATCGGCACAGTCTTTTGGAAACGTAATGTTAAAGATAAAACAAAATACAGTCATCCCGATATTATGTATATTGGCAACAACATAGTAGTGAATATATCATAAATGTTCAATATATCACCTAGCCCTGTGTGCAGAGCATTTGCGGGTTCGTGTTTTATCCAAACCCATCAATTTCCTTAATGCTTCCTGTGTTAGGAGGATTTCAGGAACAAAGTTCAGGACTTCATCAAAAACTATGCAAGATGATGTCTCTGTCGAGCCACTCTCACATGCATGTGACTTTGCAGATGCACGTCAGTCCAGACTGAATCTCAAACTATTAAAACATACTTGGGGAAAGACGAAAGTTAAAATACATAATGAATGACGCCACGAGTCCCTGATCAAGATTTGGGAGGGGTGGGCCTTACTGTCCATTTCCGATGGTTTTTTTTTTTTTTTTTTTTTTTTTTTTAGGGGA